GTGAGCCCTCCATTCCTTCGTCCGCAGGATGAAAACCCTGCATGAAGAGGCGTCGGTTGCGCACCGCCCGTTCTGACAGACGGTGCGTGCTTCCCGACGGGCAATCAATTAGGAGGTGACCAGCCGTGCCCGTCGTAAAAGCCCCACAGGAAACGCACAGGCAAACATGGCCCGAGGAAACCCAGGAGTCGGTGGCCGCGAGCGGCCGTGGCAGGAACGGGGCCCGCTCCTGGCATAGGCTCGGCTGGTACTGTCGTGTCGGCCAGCGATGGCCGACTTGGGCGCTTGGAGCCTATCCGCCTCCGCTTGTCGGGGAGGAAGGTGGGCCCCGAGCGCTCTGGAAAAGAGAGAACCCTGGCAGTGGCTACGGCCTGGACACTCGCAGCTCCATCCCAAGCAGCAGCGACGGGCTCGAAGCCCACACGTGGCCTGACGTGCCTTTCAAAGCCAGGGGAGGGGCAACGAGGGCGAGGCAAGGACGGGCACCCCAGGCCCGAGGACGGAGGGGGGGGATCAGGAGGAGAAGAGGAGCAAGAGGGGGAGGCAACGTAGAGCAGCATGTGCAGAATGAAACAAGCTCTCCCGCGCGGAGCGAGCGTCACCGCACACAGGCGGCGCTTCCTGCTCAGCCCGCGCAGACCTCCGCAGGGGCAGCACCCTGCTGGAAAAGGCCACCTGACCGCTAGCCGCACCACGGCCCGCGGCAGGCAAATTTGACAAAATGCCGAAACTCAGCCCTCGTACGGGTCCTCATTGGTAGAAGAAGAAAACACAATATAAACATAGGTTGTGGCGCTCCGCGCGGAGCGCCAACGGTTTATGTTTATGTAGTTGTTTTTGTTCGAATTGAACAGCTTGTCGAGGGCGGACCCCCGCATCGCAACGGGGATGCCGCTCAGCCCATTGCGCACCGCGCTCTGGACCCTCAGCACGGCGCCTGCCGAGGCCTCCGACCGAGAGGGCGCAACCCCACTTCTGTGCGAGATTATTTGCCGTCTTCTTGGCGGACTTCCAAGTCTGCTTGCATTCCTGCACCTTGAAGCCCTCCCCCGACGGCTCATGTAGGTACCAGGTACGTGTCCTCGTGCCCGCCGTCGCCGTCGCCGACGAAGGTTTCGTGCGAGTTCTGGGTTGCCGCCGCGCACTCCATATGGGCCTCCATCCTCCTCCTCCTCCTCCACCTCCTCCTCCTCTTCTTCTGGCCGTAGCCGCTCTACCTTTTCTTGTCCGCCAGTATTCAGATGGAACGCGGCTCCTCCGACCCGGCGCTGCTGCCTGGAGGCCCATGGCGCCGTCGGCCTGGGCCGCGCTCGATCTCCATCAGGTCCCGACGGGTGGACTCCGACCGCGCGCGCTGGGCCAAGGACTGGCCCGAAGACTTCTCCACCACCTGCTCGGACCGCTCACTCGTCGCCTTGGCGGCCTGCTTGGCCTGCAGCACTGCAAGGTGGAAGCCACGGCAAGGTTCTTGGAACATTGCTTGGTGGGGCTACAGGCGAGCCAGGACGCCTCGCCACTGCTTGACTCATCGCCTCCCGGGTCCCGACCGGCACCTGCACGTACTGCTGGCGCGCACCGGTGGCGCGTCTCCGGGCCCGTGCTCTCGGGTTCCGCTTCTCCGCGGCCTTCCACGGCTGGGCCACCCAGTCGACCATCTTGTACGCCTGGTCGAACTGCGGCGCCGTGAGCTCCGTCGGGAAGAGCGCGGTTCGTTTGGCCCAGGAGGCCTCCGCCGACCCCGCTCCAGACGTCTTCCTCGGAGTTGTCCCCGATGTAGAGCGCCTCGACGGCGTGCGCGGTACTCGTTGGTCCGCCATCGCAGATTCCGTCAACGATCTGGACCGCGATCCCACCCTCTCGAAGAGCGCGAGCCTCGCGCCCAGCTCCTGCGACAGCGCGCGCAGCACCTTCATGCCATCGCTGCCCGCGGCTCGTGGCGGCTGCGACCCTGTCAGGTGCGCTGCCCCCAAGGGCCCCCCATCCAAGGCCAGGCGGGGGCTAGCAGAAGGAGGAGGAAGAGGAGGAGCAGGAGGAGAGCAGGAGGAGGGGGAGAGCAGGAGGGGGAGGAGGAGGAGATGACGGGAGACGACGGCGAGGGGCATCCGACGGGGGCCCGGCAGACGCTCGCGATGCCCGAACGGGCGGCCCCAGAGAGGCATCCCATCGCCGAAGTCGCCGACCTGCACGGCGCACGCCGCCTCGCTCGGCCCAGGATGGCCAGAGCGGCATCAGGCCGCAGCCGCGGTTCGGCCCGCCTGGGCTGGGACCCCCCCCCAGCACTCCTCGCAGGCGGCGGGGACCTGGGCGCCAGCAGGCCGCGTCCTCTCCCGCGCGCCGCCTGCGGGCCAGCACGCCACCGCCAGGGCGTGCGACCATCGGCCGATCAGACACCAGCCGACAGTGCCGCGGCCAATCGCCTGCAGCACCTCGAAACCGAAGAGCGAGAGCATCCTCCGACTGGCGCACTCCGCCCCTCCAGGCGGCACGATTTCAAGGCATGCGCGAGACTCTGCCCCGACCCACGCTTCAGCCAGCAGCTCCCCGCCAGGCAATGAATGGCCTCTCCGCTCTTCGGGCGCCTGCCTGCCTCCAGCCTCCGAACCCGTGACCTGAGGTTGGACAGGTAGGTCCGCGCATCACGACCCTCGCCAACGTGCATGCCTCGGCACGGCTCCAGCAGCGCTTTCGACGTGCCGCTGCCCGACCAGGCCACGCGCACCAGGCAGAAGATGGGGGGCTAAGCCTGCGCAAGCGGTGGCCCTGCACGCCCACCGCCGCGTCGCCCAGGGCCCAGAGCGTCAACGGAGCCTCGGCCAAGCCGCCTGGGCCCAGCAGCCGCTGGGACGCGTCCAGCGCCGCCATGGCGAACGGGCCCTCCCCTGACATCTGGAACCACGTCGCCTCCACGTGCCCGATGAGGGCGTCCGCGCTGAGCTTCGCCACCTCGCTCTCGCTGCATGGAGAGCGCAGGTACTGCGCCCGCGACGGACCTCGGGTGGCCGCCGTGGATCTGCAGCACCGCCGGCACAGCGCGACCCTGCCGCCACGCAGGAGGACCAGCTGATGCCGCGCCACCACCACCACGGGCGGCGCGCTCGGGGGCCCCATGCAGGGGCGCGCTGCCGAATCCCTCACCTGCCAGCTCGGGATCTTCAGCATGCGCTGCATGGCCCACGCGATGTAGACCGCGACCTGCTTGTGGCACTCGATCTCGACCTCTTAGAAGTTCGCGTAGCCCTGCGAGACAGCGCGGGCCCTGGCCCCTTCCTTCGTGAAGAGGCCCGCCCACATGTCCCCCATGAAGTGGAGGGGGCGCAGCCCGCGCTCCTGGAACTGCTTGAGCTCAGTGCGCGCGGGGATCCAGCGCGCCGCAGGCCACGCAGGCCGCGCGCGCAAGCGCCGCCAGACCGCGGCGTGCGCTGCGCCAGCCTGCTCGAGCGCCGCGCCCCAGGAGGCCGCCTCCTCGGCGAGCCCCAGCAGGTCCGCGAAGACGACGTCGACGGCGCTCCCGCCGAGCTGCGGCGAGAGGACCAGCAGCGCCCGAAGCAGGGCGCGCCTCTCCGCGCGCCCCGCCGTCTGGGAGGGGGCCTGGCAGACGCCCGTACGCGGCGCGCACTGGCAGGCCCTGCGTCGAGACCTGCACCGCTGCCCAGCCGCAGCGCCGCAGCTCGGGCATCGACGAGGCCAGGCCCGAGCCCTCCGTGAAGAGCGTTGTGCCAGGGTCGGCGCTCCAGTCGCCCCAGCAGGCGCTCCGCAGGCGGCGCGCTCGGCGGCGCGCATGGGAGACAGGCCGACAGCGCGAACTCGTCCCACGCCTGCGGCCCACCGCCCATCTTGAGGTCCTGGTCGCACATGAGGGCCCAGGCCACGCTGCGCCTCTCGGGGAGCACTTCGCCGTTCTCCTCGCCCAGGAACTCTGGCTCCAGGAAGGTCTCGCAGCCGAAGAAACGGTGTCCAGGGGTGTCCGACACCGCCCCGCATGCGGCGCACTCGGACGCGGTGGCCAGCTTCGCGTCGGACTGCGCCTGCCTGGTCCAAGGCACCCCTGCCCAGTGGGCACGCAGGCCCGCGGCCCCTGGGCCCTCGGCGACCGCGGCCTTGGGACCGCCAACGCAGAGCCTCATTGCCTTCGCCCGCAGCTTGGCCTGCTGGTCGCGCTGCGGGTAGTGCTGGAGGATCTGCCGCCCTTGCCACCGCGCGATGCCCATGGCCAGGTGCACCCTAACGTCCTTGGGCGACTCCGTCAAGAGGTTGACGCGGTTCTCCTCGTCCTTGACGAGCACCGTGGACGAGTGCGCGAACCGGCGAATGTGCCGCAGCGTGAGGATCGTGAACGCGATGGGCCTGCGCGCCTGCGCAAAGCAAGGGGGGCCACCAGCCTGGCCGTAGACCCGGCCCAGGCATGGGGCAGGCGCGCGAGCGAGGTGCGCTGCTCCCACACCCAACTAGCGCAGCGGCAGACCAGGTCACAGGTCGCCAGGTACATGGGATCGAACTCCTTGGCCCTCTGCGTCGCCAGCAAGACCTTGTCGCTCGAGGGCCCAGGCCTGGCCCCGACCAGCATGCCCGCCTCGCTCCTGAGCTTGCGGAGCGTGGCGTCGGTGGCCCCTGACACTCCAGCTCCGCGCGCGGCGCTGGGGAGGGGCCCCGCCTTCCAGAGGCAGGCGACCCTCCTGCCCACCGCCATCTTGAAGAGCAATCGCCTGCCCCCGCGCGCAGCCAACGCCTTCGCCCTCTCGGCGGTCTGGCGCCGCGCCTTGCGACGGCCGCGAAGGTCGTGCCCCAGGTTCCTCACCCAGTGCCTGTCCTCGAGGCCTCGCGCTCCGCCGCGCTGCCGACAGCGCTGCGCGACGGCCGCGGGCGGGGAGACATCGCCAGACTTCTACAGCTTGTCCAGGGCAGGCGCCCTGAAGTCCACCACGCGCAGGGTGACGTCGTCGATCAGCGCTCCAGGCACGACGCCGAGGCAGCGAATGCGCTGCAGTAGCCTGTGGAGCAGGAGCGAGACCATCGCGCAGGCGTGCGCGCAGCCCGCCAGCACCCCCTGCCACGCGATCACATCGTACGAGATCGAACCGAACGCGCACAGCCTCCTCGTGTGCCGATAGAGCTCCAACAGCATCCGGACGAAGCGCAGCGGCATGCCCAGCTCCCGCGCCTCATCCAGCAGCGCCGCAGGGACGATCGTCTCGAAGAGCTTCCAGGCGCCCATGAGCACCGTGAGCGCGCGCCCCCGGGCGCCGCAGAGATCTCCGTCTCGATGTTGAGGTCGAAGGCCGAGTCCGACGAGCTCCTGCCTCCCCCCATGCCCCAGATGTCGGCGCTGGGTTGCACGGAGAGCCAAGCTTTGGAGATGCTGGCCCTCGCTCGTGACCACCACCTGACCATTGTATGCGTGATCGCGATCAAACGGCAGCCTCCAGTCGGCTAGGGCAGCCTGACCATCTCACGCCAGATCCTGCCGTTGGGCCAAGCGCCGACCTCCCCGCAGCACGCGAAAAGGGCAGCGCACACATGGACCTCGACCTAGCGCCCGCACGCCGACGCGCGCGGGTCCGAGCGCCGTGGAAGTCGGGGAGGACAGCGCAGCAGCCTGCAGCATGCCCACCGTGAGCGTGGAGAGAGGCTCACACTGGTCGATGTCGTGCGGCCCCCGAAGCTGCTCTAACTCGTGGCGTCTCCAGGTTTCGGCCCACTCCTTCATCTCCTTATCGCAGGCGTTGACGGGGCTGGCGTTCCTGTCGCGCTCCGTCCACTTCGGCAGCACCAGCTGCAGCGCACGGGGCTCGGTCGCCCTGGGCGCCCGACCAGCCCCCTTTCAGGAAGCTGTCCTGGGCCCATCGCACCCGCGCCCTCTGCTTGCCGTCAATCGCCTTCTCCACCACCGTGCTAGCGCACTCCACGATGTCGCCGGCAACCTTGACGAAGTCGCCCCGCAGCATGACGCGCATGCATGCCCAGGAGAAGTCCTGCGCCCACTGCGGCAGCAGCGCGATGATCTCGTGGCGCCGCGCCACCATGTCGAGGTAGCTCTTGGTCTCCAGCAGGAAGCAGGCCAGCTTGGAGTACTGCGTCGACGACAGCGCGCACACCGCGACCGATGCTTGCAGTTGGCGCAGCCACTTGGCGACGAACGCACTGGCGCCCATCAAGTGACGCGCCCGCCTCACCACGTCGCGGCAGGCTCCAGCGAGCGGGCCGAGCCGCGCCAGATGCGCAGGCGGTCGCCAATTTGCAGGTCGGAGGGCTGTCGCCAGGCCGCCTGACCTGCCGACGTACTTGTGCATCTGCTCTCCCGCCTTGTCGTATCGGTCCAGAAGCTCCTCCTCGGCGGCGCCGAGAACGGCGCCCCGCGCCTGCGCCGGCAGCTGCTGCGCATGATCGTCGCTCACATCGAGATATCGTATGCCTTGGGGAGCTTTGACGCACCTCCCCCTCGCGCTGCCCTGCGCTGGGCCCCATCGTTATATATATATATATATATATATATATATATATTATATATAATATATATATATATACATATATATATATATATATATATATGTATGTATGTATATTCGTGTATGTGTATATATATATACATGCATAGATGCGATTCTTGTCCACGCATGCATCCTTCGCCTGCAGGACCTTGGCCAACGGCTTGGTCCAGTCCTCCTCGCCTCGCGCGCATCCCGTAGGCGGCGCCGCTGGGATGGGCCGAGGCGCCACAGGGACGCGGACCAATATCTTCATGTCCTGCCCGGCGAGCCGAAGCTCCGCTGGCACGAGGGGCGCCGCGGCGCCCTGCTCGCGCACGGTCGGTTCGAAGATCCTCGGGCCCAAGTTGCCCGATACGAAGGAAGTTGTCGATCGTCGACGCGTTGTCCAGCTGCGGGCGGCACGCGGTCTGCCTGGGCACCGCCCAGACGCCGTTGGCCTCCTCGCCCCACTGAGGCTCGAGCAGCTCCAGCGCCATGTTAAAGTCGCTGCCGACGACCCAGTCGTAGCCCGCGGCCTTGAGCTGCACCAGGTGGCGCAGCAGGGTGAACGAGATCTCCTGGCTGACGACGCTGAACCCGACGCTGTCGACCAGATGGACAGAGATCATCACCAGACCTCCGCGCACGCCCCAGTGCACGTGCGCTGCCGACATGCGGCCCTCATGCAGGACGGGCGAGTCGAGCAGCGGCGGCGCCGTCACAAGAATGGAAGCCTTCGCCAGGATGGCCACGCCACGCCGCCGACCGTGCCCTCAAGGGAGGCAGGGGAGGCCGCCGCTGGAGTCCACACCGCGTCGAAGCCGAAATCCTGCATCTCCCTCTGCGCCACCGCGAGCTTCGTGGGGTCCATGATGCGGCGCTCCTGCAGCAAGATCACGCACGTGTCGCTGCCGAGCGCCTCGACGCAAGGCCCGATCGAGCCCGGCGAGGTCACGTTCATCGACGTGATGATGCCCTCAGACTTGAGGGCTGCCGTTGGGTTGGCCACCGACATGAGGCCGATGAGCTCAATGAGCCGCCCATCGCCGTCGCATTGGCCAGCTCCCGGACCTTGGCGGCGTTTTCGTCTGGTTTGGCGAACCTGGCCATCTTCTCGCGGAGCTCCGGCTCCTCGAGCTTGTCGGGCTCCCAGCGGGCCTGCACGACGAAGTCGTGCGGTGGGGCTGCCTCCTCTGCTGCTCCCTGTGAGCCGTGAAGCTGCTGCCCCGCGTCCGCCTCCTCATCGCCACCCCTGGGCCGCTTCTTGACAACGAGCTCCGTGATGCGCCTGCTGAGCTCCTCCGCCAACTTCGCCTGCGCCGCGTGCGGCAGGGCCTGCTCCTCGCCCGGGTGCGCACCCAGCTGCGCCGCAACGAGTTACGAGAGCTCCCCCGTGGTGAGGCCGAGTCCTGGCACCAACTCCTGCGCCAGAGCCGTGCCTGGCGCCCGCGCGGCTGGCGCCGTGGCAACAGCTGCTGCAGGCGCTCGAGCTCGGCCTCCATCTCCACGCGCAGCGTGTGGAGCTCATGGTAGGGTTTCTCCTTGTCGTCCAGGACCAGCTGGACAGCGTCCAAGGCATCCTCGGCCGCGTCCCTGGCGGTCGCCGCCTTGGACACCTTCTCGCCCATCTGCTAGACCTTGCTGGCCAGCACCTGGGCGTGCTTGGGCAGCGGTTTGCACTCCATCTGCCTCTTCCTCGCGTCGGCCAGCTGCACGTTGAGCGTGGCCACCTTCTGCTGGACCCACTCGCTGTCGCTGCCCTTGAGCATCGCCAGGTCGCGGAAGTGCCGCTTGATCTCGGCGTCGATCTTGCCCGCATCCGAGTCGTCCGTCTCCATGGACTCGCTGCACTCGGCGGCTTCCTGCCAGGGTGGCGGCTTGCCGCTGGTCCGCTCCTTCTTGAGGTCGGCGAGCTCCTTCTGCGCGGCCTCGAGGAGCTTCTCGAGCTTGCCCTGCGGGTACTTCCTCCACTCGGCCTTCTTGGACGGCTCCGCGTGTGCAGCGACCTCGCCGAGCACGTCCTTCTTGTGCAAGCGGCAACCGTGGCACTTGAGGCTGCTGCCCCAGTTGAGCCGGGCCTTCCCAGTGCGGCGATTGATGCAGCTATTGCACGTCCAGTCGCGCATATGCTTCCTGCCTGCGCCGCCCTGGCCTCCCATGACTGGAGCCTTCGGGAGTGCAGGAACGGGAAACGCATCCGTTTACCCGCCCACCCGACGGCGGTGTGAGCAAAACTTTGCCAGGCTTCAAGGGGCCTTGGAAGCCGCGGACTAGCGGTCTCCACGCGTTCCCCTGTGGAACCAAACATCTGGAGCCAAAATGGCTACGGAGACGAGGAGGGGGAGGAGGAGGAGGAGGAGGAGGAGGAGGAGGAGGAGGAGGAGGAGGAGGCGGAGGAGGAGGAGGAGGATAGGAGGAGGAGGAGGAATGAGAGAGGAGGAGGAGAACGAGGGGAAGGAGAGGAGGAGGAGGAGGAGGAGGAGGAGAAGGGGGGAGGAGGAAGAGGAGGACGAGGAGGAGGAGCAGGAGGAGTTCAGCTCAGTTCAGTTAGCCCGCGGTGGTCTGGACAGATGCAAGCGTCGCATTCTCTCGTGCCTGTGGGCGTCGCATTTTGACAGTTATGCGAATCCACTCTCTGTGAGACGGCCCATGGCCTCTCGGACGGAGGAGGAGGAGGAGGAGAAGGAGGAGGAGGAGAAGGATGATGATGATGATGATGATGCTGATGATGATGATGATGATGATGATGATGATGATGATCATGATCATGATGATGAGGAGGAGGAGGAGGAGGAGGAGCACGAGGAGGAGGAGGATGAGGAGGAGGAGGAAGAGGAGGAGCAGGAGGTCCAGCAGGAGGAGGCGAGGAGGCGAGGAGGAGGAGGAGGACGACGACGAGCAGGAGCAGGAGCAGGGGGAGGAGGAGGAGGAGGTTTGCCCTGTGGGGCAGCACGGTCGCGACGGCGGCCTCCGCCTGGCCACCTATACGGCAGGTTCGTGCGGCGTCGGCGCGCGCAGAGGTGTTTGACACTGCGCCGATCGTTCCACCTCGAATCGATCGCGGCCCCGATCTTTCAAAATTGAAGTCCGTCGCGTCCACTGGCTTTACCGTGCCCCTCGGTGCTTCCGCGTCACAGCCAGCGTCGCCTCCGCGCGAACGCCGCACGTTGAGCAGGGACCGACCGTTCCAGCATTTCTATAGGTCTACCACGACATGATCTTATAAGCCCCAACTCTTCTAAGTACAAAACTATTTTCTTAGAACATAAGCCCGATGTGTTGAAAACAAGACATGCTCAGCCAGAAATGTTCGAATCACATTTCGTGCAAGCCACAAAAGGTTCTTGGGACTTGTTTTGATGGGCCGATAGGCGAGCCAGGACGCTTCGCCACTGCTTGAGCACGAAGCCGCCACAGGAAGGCGGGATACCTGCCTGTGGCAGGACGCGGGGAGGCCCTTGGAGGATGGCTGTGCGAAAAAAACCGCCGACACCTTGGGGTCCATCGGCGTGTATGATGCGTCCACCTCCCCAAAT